GATATACCCGCTGCCAACGCATACATTATGAGCACACTGCGGAGATCATCACTCGATTTTAAATTATTATTTATTAACTTTTGTTGGGTTTTTGATGAAATAAATAATAATAATAATTTATGGTAAAGATATTTGTATTGAAATTCCGTTAATCCTTTAGACGTATTTTAGTGTTAACGTGTTATTTGTATTTTTGGAATGCCCCGCAAAGTTTGGAACTCAAAGCACATTGTTTAGTACACACTAAATAGTTGAACGCCATGATACCAGTCAGAATATTATGTAAGTACCTACCTATTATAAAAGATAAACTTCAGACGATTCTGCACTTTCGGGACAGGCAAATTTTCCATTAATTGATGTTGGCATGAATCTTATTATTATTTTTACGCTTTACTATTTCCAAATACAAGTTATTTATCTCTCAAAGGGTCTCACACGGATTTTCCCGAACATGGATATTCTGAATAAATGTATGACGTTTCACGAGTCAAACATTTTCAAGGTACTATAACAATACTGAATTTCGATACACTTATACAACTTATTGTCGTCGTAGTTTGGGTAGCTTTTCGGACGGACTGTGACTGTTGTGCGAATACAATATTCTCGGTCCAGCTAACCACTAATATATTTGCATAATCAACTCGACAGCACTTGGCACTCAAGATGTGCATATTATTACGCATCCAAATCCGTTCAATGGGAACGTATATATTAGAAATTATAATAATAATTATAAGATAAATATTAATTATTTTCTTTTTTTTATTATTAAAATGTTTAATTTGGTAAGCAAATCGCTCATGAACTTAATTATGAATTATAATTATCGCAATTGTTATACTTGGACCGTGATAATTATAATTAATCCTCCGCAAATTATTAAAATTGATTCTATAACGAATTTTATAATAAAAATAATAAGCCATGATATTATATATTATGATACGTTAGTAAAATGTCGTCCCAACGCAATTGGTATTTATTATAAATTCCAAATCGTTTGTGGACAACCATCTCTGTCATGGTAGGTTAATACCTTTTCTGTATACCATATTGTAGACTATAATCCTGGTTCAATTACGCATACGTATGTAAAACGATTAGACGAGTGAGATAATTTTTTTTCCAAATTTAATTGTTTTCTTGTCTCTGTTTAAGCTGACTATGTGTACCAAAACTATTGTTGTAGGTAGTAGGTGAACGCGGCTTTACCAAAATAATATTATAAGAACGTACCATAATGTTTATTATCTACGCTGTGATTGCAGCGTTGGCCAGACTGGAACCGAAAATCGGTCGTTTCGACGAACAGCATATTAATTTATTTCTATCTCCGACCGAATAATCGTAATCTTACGAGCAGGTTATCATTGCACCGATCGAGTCGATTACAACAACCACACAGCCTCGCGGAAGATGAATAGCTGCAGCTGACATCGAATGTCTTTATTTTTCGCCGCACACATCAACGACCATATCGTCTTTATCATAACAATATGCACTAACTTCGTGATTTAATATTGTTCACATAATTGACCGCATGTTCCAAATTTGTCGTCAAGACACAAACTATAATTCACGCGCTTAGATGCAGACTTTGAATTTTTTTTTTTTTGTTTCCATCTATAATCTACGAATCATAATTATTAATTTACAATATAGTTTTCAGAAAAATAAACGAGCAAGTACATGGAGTCTGATCGCCCGATGTGTGAAACGTCTTCTCACAGGCTCTGTGTGTATATTTTAATCCGTTAAACTGTATTTTAATAGGCAGGTACTGCGTCCACATTATAAAACGGCATGTGGCGTGTAATTTATTAAAACATCGCGTAGTGATGATCGGGCGCGGAGCTGCAACGTCGGAGGCGTGTGAATGCGCGTCGAGAAAGCGAAAGGATTATTATAGTGCCTATTATAATAATAATAATAATAATAATAATAATATCGTACATTATTATGCAGTATCGAAGGCGTTTCGGACGTTATTTCGATAATATACCAAATAACAATTAACATAATGCGATCTATATATTATTGTATACCTATAGTACATGCAGGTGGGTATTGTCTTAGCGATTTCGCGTTTCAAATTGTATAACAACGAGCCCTGTCACATCGCACATGTTTCATAATATCTGACGTACGCCCATTATATTATATTGTAACAATATTACATATTACTATTATTATTATTATTATTTTCTAACATGCTAAACGACTGAGCACAAAAATGTCTGTTCGTACGTGCTGATGGCCTGCCCAAACATAATATATATTATAATGACGCGCATTGTCATCGCGACGATGTACATTGTCACGATCATCGGTCGGCAGGTACTTATGAACGTGATATATCGTTAAAAAAATGTATAAAATAGTTTTAAAAAAAAAAAACGTCATAAAACCCGCTCGTAAGGCACCGCAAGACAAATTACGTACAATATTGTAACACTCTTACAGAGCGATGACGCTGTGCAGGTACCTCGTGGTTGATGATGGTCGGTATAATTTCCGACGATGGTATACAATATTCAGAGACAAAACAACGTAATGCATTATTTAATCGAGACAATATAGAGTAGCGATTGAATCGTCAAAATTATTCGGACCGAACAGTATACATTCCAAGTTATTTCAAACGCCAAAATCCTCACGAAACGAGGTAGGTACCTATTAAATTCCGTCCTCTGTACCTACCTACGGTGAAACTAGTAATTATTATGATGTGACTTATCTCAATTATTGTCGACGAAGAGTAGAGAAAGTTTCGAAACGTTGAAAATTTGAATCTAAGTTTAGAGATAATACAATTGTGCCTGTAGTTTTATTTCATATAACTCAAATATAACTTATAAGACAATACACGATTATTATTTATATACGTAATTTTGTTCAAATTTTTAATCATTTGTAGAAAGTATTATAATTTACATTGGTAATAAATCAGATGACATATTATATTATTATTTCTGTATACTATCATAAAAATTTCAAAGAATAATTCATGTCATTAATGATATTCGTTTTTGTAGAAATGTTTACAACATATTATTATTAAAATAAAAATGTTCATCAAACGATTGCATTCGTATTTTTTCTCTAAATGTATATTGTAATATAAATCTTTAATTTTCTAACTTCAATGAGAATTTAATATCATATTTTAAAACTTAAATAATATGCAATTTTAAAACACTGCAGAAAATACACTTCATTTTCTCCTCCTTTTTTTTTGATTTCTGTAGTCATCAATTCCAATTAACTATGTATAATTTATAATCAAAATTATAAGCGAGATCTTAAGCAAATACTCATAATATAAAAAAAATCATCATTTTTTTAGAATTCAATTATTTTTTATGGCAAACTGTAAATCCAATTGAATTAATTTGATTGTATCCATGGAACATTTGCTCGAAGTCCTGATTAATTATTAAAATATTCCTTTAAAACACTCAAAATTAGTTTTTAATGAAATTGATTTCAAGTAAGAAGATGGAGTCAAATTTGTCGATTTATAGAAACTCCTATTTACATTTAATTAACTTTTTTTGAATAACAAGTTTATGTAATTAATACAAAAACCAACCGAGCTTTAAACTTAAATAGTATAAACATACATTGCATTAATGTTACACTTCTCGAGTCAATTTACAGTCCAACAAAATATTTGATGTTGCCGTAGTACAGTGTGTAAATAAAATCATTTTTGAAATATTCCATTATATATAATCACACGCTGACAACACGTTTGTCTTTTAAATAAACAACAGTCCCTATAACTTGGATTCACTATATTTATTACTCAAAAACATGAAAAATGTACACAATCTACACCCCATATGTTGTGATATAATTTGTGTGTAAGACTCGTGTGCCTATATTGTTACAACTGGCATTATAGAATTAAAACATGCATTGAAAATACCAACCTAATTAATTTTAACAATACACTTGAATGATCTAATTAGTTTAAATAATATAATGTCGAAAGAAATTAATGGGAGTAGTTGTATAACACTAATTTATTATTCTCAGGTGTTTTTATCCAAAACCGTGTGACTAGTTAGTTAATTTCAAATATTATGATACGATGAAATATTGTCTCGAACAGTTCGCTTGCACACCAGTACACAATATACAAGGACGGTTTTGTTGAACCATAAATCTCTGCTACATCTTTAATCTTTTCCCTAACCTTAGCTCCGATCAGAAAATCTCAACACCTGCGTACTGACGTTTTCCATTTTTTTTTCCAAAACCTAACACGTAATTGGTTCTCTTTTCTCAAGCAATAGAAAATTAACATTATTACATCAATGCAAATTTTTTGAACGTTTATCAAAAATCAAAATGGGAATAATAGTTATATACCTAGTTATAAAGTGAATACATAAGAAACTACGTGCCCGTTCATAAATGCACACACTCGCTACATTTCAAATCTAAGCGTTTCGAGTATTATTGTTATGTGCCACGGCTATCTGCACCAAAATAACCGTGATGTGTACACAAGTCCGAAATATTTATATTTTTTTATTGCTCACTATGCACACCTCTAAGTGGAGAAAAGAACTCGAGGGACGGTCAATAATAGTGAAAGTTATGTTACCATCGATTTGTCTGCTTAAAATTACTATTATGAGCGTCAGTAATGATTTGTCCATAAATCCACTAGAAGCGTGATGCAAATCGATGATACATTAAACATTTATGAAAATCAAAATAAAATGTTTTCAGTTCGTCATTAAGGACGAGTTTAAAATTGAAATACCTATGGATGTTTTTTTTAACTTTTATACATCCTTGACAAGTCAAATTGATTAAATAATATTATTATAAACCACTTTTCGGGAAATAAATCGATTTCACTCCGATCCTCCCGAACCGTGTACCGAATATGATCTTGATCTCCGACCCAGAAATTTACATAAGCAAACGGTCACGCTGCTTTCACAGTATGGCTCATTTTCAGCTCACAAACGACTCACCTTAACTAGGGCTGCCAGAAAGCACACGGGCAAAAACTGCCACAACATTTTGGGCGTCTCTGGAATTCACTGCAACACAAAAATCAAAAAACAAATCGTTAAAAATCTTCAAAATTGTCTTAGTCAATGATGTAGAGAGCCTGCAGAATCGATCGGCGGCGTCTTATAATTTATAATCAATATTGAGCAGCCACATCATAATATGTTGTACGCATGATGCCAATAACGATCATTTATAGTATCTCTTATAGGTGCCTCTCTGTTTACCTACTATCACATAATTCGGTCCCATGACTTACTCGAACGCAACCTCGGCAAGACGGAAATTGACAAACATATTAGTACCTATATGACCCATGTGTCAACCCCTGTGTTATATAACATATTTTTGGCAAATATAAAATAAATGTGTTTGACGAATTTAAAAAAAAAAAATTTAACTTCCTGTTTACGTACCTACTTTTTACTGAAAAATCGGTTTAAATTATCATTACGCGCAGTAAAATACTGTAAATCATTACATAAGTAGTATTTTTCTATATTTTTACTTTCGGGTAATTTATTTAAATATTATAAGTTTTTATATGATCAGACTTCCTCTTCAATTTTTAAAAAAATTGTTTATTTTATTCAAATACAATATGTAACTCGCAATCATAGATTAGATAGACAAAGAAAATAATTGCGATGTGATTGCACACTGTTTTTTAATATTTAAAAATATTCAACTAGCTCAACAAAAAATTTAAATTTATTGCCTAAGCATTCTTTTTACTATCAATACAATATATTCTACTATTACAACAATTTTCAATCTTATAATATATATCTTATATTTTTTTTTAAAATTATAACAGATGTTCTATGTATAAATAAAAAATAAAAACAATTTATTCATACCAACAAATCATATTTTTATACTTTGTTGACCACTTAAGAATTAAAATATTAAAATAAAAGTAATCAATAGAAACAAAAAGATTTACTTATACCAGTATTTAAATTCGATTACTTAACAACACTGAGGTAATATATACGCTACATTCATTACAATATTACGGAAAAAATATTTCCTATGCCACACCACAATATAATATTATAATATTATGTAATATGTACCTATCTACCTTAAATCGAAAATATTATTATTTGTTAAAATTTTGTTCCCCAAAATTACATAAACGTATTTGACACGATGAAAATAATACTGTCGTGGTGATACTAATAATAAGTGTAAGAGCATTTTTTTTTACTGCTCACCCGCCACATAAACATAACATCGAAGACATAAATTAAATTCTGAGTATTATACCAACTTACGAGCGGGTGATTTAAGAGGAACTACACAAAATTGGCACTATAGTAATATCAATATTATGATATTGCGTAAGTGATTCGACATGCGCTCTTTCGCCATACTACTATAAAACCCATTGGATTGGTGCAAAGTGAAATTTATATTATTTTATATGATATAGCTTGATTATTTAAATTATAAGTGTATAAAACAAACACTACATCACAATATGCAATTATCTTTGACACGAATTCGTCCGCTTTTCGATATAACGCTATAAAATATCGTATCTTGTTCAAACTTCCAAGAAAACCCTAAATCATATCATACAACGATGACCACGTGTGCGTCAGAATCACTTTTAAAAAGCATAATATAAAGTTAGAGTTTTTAAAAAATTATTTAAATACTACTTGAACTTAGTGCACGTATAAACTACATTATATGTACGGCACGTGCAAACCATAAATAAAAAACTATTAATAAAAATACCTAACTAATATTTCGAACTATGTGCGCGTACTAATACGTTATACGTTGTATACATTATACTTATACATATTATAAACACACACACACACACACACCACCGACTACACACACATGTATAGTCATATCGTATGTGCCTAACGCATCCGAACGGGTAACGCTGGGTTTCGCGTACGTTTTCGGCTCGTAAATTTCACGACCGCGACCGTGTAATGAGTTTTGCCGTTTTATCGCACAAAACAATATAATATGAGATGCGCGGGTTTCTGAGGTTACACACGATATCTACAGGATTTTCGGCCGACCTACTTAATATGTTTGCTGTGACCAATTTCCAATGGACACGTCGCCCAAAAAAATGCCTACATTTTTAGGACTTACTTAAATATTCAGACATGAACTCGTTTTCTAGTGTACACCAAAATTCACGATACAGGCAATCTCCCGGCAAGTCCATTGGGGTCCCTGATATTTTTCTTGCATAAATATACGTGAAAATAATAAATATTTATCAATTTTTCTGTTTTGGAAATTTGAACTCGCGTTTTTTCGGAAAAACCTGAGTAGGTACCCGGGCGCTTATTTTCCAAGACACCGCGGAGAAGTGTGCGGTATGCGAATATAATAATAGTTAAACGCGTACGCGAGTATACCTACGGACGACCAACTGGGTTGAGTTGGAGAAGAAAAATGTGAGGTGAGAAAAAATAGCGTCACGTGCCGACCAGCCACCCACCGGCGGACACGAAAAATTTGATATTTTACCGTCGTCGGAACGGTTATTCTCACGTGATATTATACAACGCGTATGGTGGAGCAGCATCGGAACGACTGCGATTTGTCGTCTGCGACACCGTTGTCGCGCGCGAATCGCATTCATAATAATATGCGCGGACGATACAAAACACGTAGGTACATATTATATACCCATCTAAATAAAATAAAATAATATCGTGCGAAATGGTATCCCAATGGTATTATATGATAACAATATGATAGTGTCGCAATCGGGTCGACGTCTCAGCGCGGCCGAAAAGTCCTAAGCAACAACTAACATAGCAATATTTACAAGTAGGAGCCCATCATACACGAGTGGTGTGTGTGCTCATATGGGTAGGTGGGTACACGCTCACTCTGCAGTACTGCAAGACGACGGCGTTAATGTATACAAACAATGTAATTGTACGCGCGCAATGTGTCATTAAAATGATAATATAATATTATTATATTATTTTGTATGCGCACGAATACCGTACGGAGGTGGTGTCGGTGTGTCGGCGGCGAGCAAATGTCGGTCATCCGATGACTCGGACTGCTGCGAGATGGTGTTGTTCACACGAAAGCGACGTTTTTATTATTGTTATCGTTTTTTTATTACTATTATTATCATTGTTGTTGTTCGCCCGTCGATTATTAATTTTTATTATTATTCTGTTGTCGAAAATCGCCCGTGTGAATTTAAAAACAAAACCACCGAGTATATACGCTGCGGTCCGACTCAGTCCGACGTATCGTGAGTATCGATTCCGCAATTCCGACCCACCCTCCCCCCCTCCTGCGCCATCATCCCCCGTAATCAATTAACCGATGTATTATTATAGAAATAAATAATGAATAAAAACAATAAAACAACTTTCGAGTCACCCTCCCGCACCCGAAAACACACGACCACCGCTTGTATTTTTGTCAAATATCACCAAAAACCGCAGGTGGTCGTTAAAGTCAAATACTTCGGAAGAAATAAATAAAATATATTATATATTATACTCTGTCTTGTCTACTTATAAAAAAAAAACATTTAACGATTTAGGTGTAACTTTTTTTTTTTATTCAAATATGATCGTAGAAAAGATCTTCACCGTAATAATATGTAAAAAAAAAAATTGTTTATTACGTTCGTTTACACTTCACGTCTTCCAGAACAAGTATTACGATATTGGCCAATAAATTATTTTTTTTCAATAGTTGCATGTTTAACGCAAAAATAACTACTTACTAACGAGTGAAATTATTTCTAACGGTTACGAAACTCTAAGCTAATACAGACGTTCATTCCGTTTTAATTCGATAATTTTCGGTTTCGGTGTGTACGCATAAGAGATAATAATTAATGCTAATTTAGGTATAAACGTTTATTAAGTACTTGCCTACCTACCGACCTGCGATGAGATGAGATCATTTTCGGCATGTCAGCGGAATCTCGAAGGAAATAACTAATGAGCACATAATATTATTTGGTGTTTTGATTTTTTTTATAGGTTTTTGATAATATCGGAATTTTCGAAACAAATCCACAGACCGGCGAGGTGGGGTGTATATTAATATAAGTGCGAATGAGCAAAAAAAAAAAAAGTCCGCGTACGATTTACCCGGAAGTTAGCCGTTTTTTGTACGCCCGAGTAACTTCTGCAGCCGACCGACTTTTTTAGGGAAATAATATTTTGTTATTCCTGTAAACAGTCGCCGCAGTGCGCACAATAATGTATTTCTTTTTCACGCACGTTTGCGTTGAATATGATTTGCCCTATGAATGCGATGCGTTTCATTTTCCACGTCTGCTGCAGTCTGCAATAAACTATAATAGGGAATAACAATAATGTTATTGTATTACGACGAGGAGTTCGAAGTGTTCGGATTACGCGAGGCGCTCGTTTGTCTATAGTGTCTTGGTATGGGAAACGCCAGAGTCAACCGAGCGACGGCTAATTAGACGACTAACCGATTTTGAATGAGAGATTACTAATTAATCATTTTCTGGACGTTACATGCGTTCCATGAGAGAACCACACGTAACACCGGTCAATTAAACGCGATTCGTGACCTGTGTGAAATTCTAAAACTGCGCAAAAATACACAAACTGGGAAGTTAAATAATAATAATTAAATACCTGTGCATATATACGGTTTTCGTTTGCATAAGTTTACCGAGCACGTTTTTGTACGGTATTATTATTTTTTATTTAAAAAAAAAACAGAAAATCTACTATTTACCTAACACGCTATTTGCAGAATAGATAATTTTGTTGAACTATTGTTTCATCGTATTATAAAAAGGACAATTAGAATGGAGTGACTCGGTTTATTTTTACTAAAATATATGACATCGAATCATATGGCAATATCATAGACATTAGAGGATAAAACCTAAACCTAACCTAACCTCTGTACGAGGGTGAAACAAATCTCTGGACCAATTTCTTTTCCAATGATTTTTGTTTTTCATATTAACAGACAGCAGTGGGGGATTTTTGTGACCATTACTACTCCACAACAAACGAATTGATTTTCAGGTATTGTTAGAATGAATAAATTACATATTTTTTATCGAAAAGCCTGGGTGGGTTCGGAGTTAGTCGTATGATATTTTCTATTTCGCTTTATCGAAGTCATTAAAAGTAGATAAGCAAAGACCTTTATGCGGACATAATATTATGTCTGTTATGTGCCAATTGCACCAACCGTGATTATTTTGTATCTTACTCGTCAAATTTTAGAAACATTTTATACGACGGTGGTTAGAGACGTGTTTTACTAATATCAGCAATATTTTTCCACTAAAGTAATTAAATAACTTGATGAAAGATAAGTTGACATTTATGATGGACTAACCTAGTTTAATAACTTAGAAAAAACTCGATAAAATTTCGATTTATATACATTTAAAAAAAAACCCAGGAAGACTTACAATAAAAAGAGAGTGATCCGTATTCACTCACATGACACTCTAAGAGTGCACCTATAAAAAATAAAAATATTTGAAAATATGGTCCACGAGAAAATTCCAAAGATACGAATTTGAATAAATATATTATTAAAAAATAAATATATAGTATGGGAGTGAGCATATGCTTGGCGAATCACCATGTAAATAATATTTAATATTATGTGAAATAAATCGATCGTCTTCATCACGTCTATAACCGTAACGGTAGCCGTCGTCTGCTTCGAATCGGAAAGAAAATTTATTACATTTCTACATCGACGTTTCATAATATTTTATATGTATAATACGTGTGTGTGTGTTTGTGAGTTTACGTCGTACGGGTATTGTCGTTCAATATTTAATAGAAAAACGACGGGGACACTAGTTATTATTCATATTTTGCCCACATCGGTTTCTGTGCGAATGTGTATAAATGTGTATAACATATTATATTTGTGCAATTATTTTACCCCAAGCAGTCAATTTTTATGAGTGGAGCGATGTGACGAAACATAAAAAAATTATACGTTTTTTACACTCGGAAAATAAATGTAAAATGTTCGTAGTATCATATTTACCGATAAAATGGCTGTTCTATGATAACACCTCGATAAAATATTGTTTGTTATTAATTCTGAACTGACCTTGTATTAGGATGTATCCGGACACTCGAAATGCGAAAATCCGATTTTCGGCGGGTCGGGCAGTTGTTTTTTTTTTTTTTTTGATTTTAAACTGTAAAACGTTAAGAGAAAAAAAACACCGCAATCACATCACCGGAACAGAATCGCGATACTACGCGCGCAGTACATTTCTCGGACGATCGCGAGAATAAAGGAGACGATCCCAGTCGTGGAGAAAGTTTATATATATACCTCCAGGTCCCCGGCGCTGGTACCTACACACGATACGCCGCTTTTTTATTATTATTATTTTTTTTTTTTTCTGGGAGACGGTGGCCGTGAAACCATCGCCGGCCGTTCGTATGTACACCTCGATGGTATAACCATATACCAGTTTACGATAAACTATCGCCCCCCGCCGCCGCCTCCACCGATATCAAGGGGCGAGGATTTTATCTGCTAATCGTTTTTCGTAGGTATTCGAATCGTATCTCCCTCCCCCCTCCCACCCCCCGCCTGCTTCCGGTAGAAGCTCGCGATATTATTATTATTTATTACCATTATTATTATTATTATTATTATTGTAAGGCATGTCGAATTTGGACGAAAAACCTAACCGACTCGGAGGCGCAACGAATAGGAAATTTTTTTAAAAACCATAGAACAGAGGTAGGTTTATAGGTACCATTATAATAAATTATACGTTAATTAAATTGCAAAACTTCAATTACACAGCTCAGAATCGATTGTAATGTGCACAATAATATAGCCTGCAGTGGGTCGTTTGTGCAGAAACCGAGTTCTACAGCAGACGTATCGAGCTTTTTCGTAATTTTAACGAGAGAAATTATCTGTTTTTTTCACAATCAAATTTTATGTTATTATAAATAGAGGTATCAGAAAATAATAATACCCACGTCTATTAACATATTAGGGACCGTGAATTTTTTTTCTCTTGTCATGTTAACAGGCCGTCGTTTTTCTCGTGTTTGGCCATAATGCTAGGTACATTTTTAAAGGCATCGATCGCAACTAACACACAAACGATTATTGAGAAATATAATTACTATTCTTGTCAAAAAAAAAAAAAAAATAATAAGATTTTTCATCGGGTGTAGTTTAAATATGTTTCATTTTTTTAGTTACTATTGCATGACATTATCATTTAAATATTTTTGAGTAATTAAAACAAAATATAATATCATGATATAGTTAACCCGAAAAGCAAAATTAACGAGTATGAATACTTTACGTTCAGTTATACAATCATAAAAGTATAATATGTGTATAAGTACTCAAACGCCAATTACAATCAATAGTTTAATCAATCGATGGTCGATTTAATCATGAATTCAATCGTCATATTTTAACTATGATGGCTTTCGTGCCAATAGATTACTGTTATTAATACACCACACGTACGCTCGTCGATACATAGTAATAATGTAATAGATATTATGATATTATGAACATAAATCGTCTCGTCGATATAATAATATCTATTGTACTGTGAACTGTACGTCGAACTTTATGCGTATAATTTCACCATTTCGAAATTATTTTCAATTAAAAACCAATGCAATAAAATTAATGGTTTGATATTTGCTTCGACGGGATTACAATAAGAACTATACAAACTGCAATAATATATTACAATAATTCTTATTTGTAACCGACATAACACACACACACAAATAAACAAACACACAATTTATGTTCACACTATACAAAACATACAATATGGTGTAGATTTTTATCATTAGGGTTTGACATTTAATCAATTCAATTTTTTTTCCTTTTTGATGCTCATAAGTATTTAATTTTAATCACCAACTCAAATTGTCAAGGTTTTTTGTACCTAATAAAACTGTATACATTTTTTTTTTTTTAAGTTCTTCCTTATTATTCGACGGACATTTGACATTTTAAATGAATTTTATAACTCCCGTCGGTTCGACATGTATCTTTTAGGACCAAATGTTAACGACTATGCATACACTCGAATCCTATACGCCTAACTTTGTGTTTAATTTACTATACTTTTAGTAATGTTTCCTCATAATATTACTATCGTTTGGTATTTGTAATAAATTAATACATATATTATTAAACACGCTGTGTAGGTCGAAGCTAATAAAATACCTTTTTAATATTTCCAGTGGTTTTATACATCCCTAAAAACACGATGTATAATTTCACAACCGACACACGATAAAAATTGTAATATTTCAATAATTTAATGGCTTTTTAAAAATTCCTATAAGAATTTCAAATACAAAATACAATAATTAATAAGCAAGGACGTGTTTACGGTTAATACTAAATAATTTAATATCTCTACCCGAACCGCTAGATTTATAATATATACGTTTAAAACAATACCTAACTTTTAAAGTTGAAAACAAGTTTTCGACGAATTATTTTATACCTACCAACGTAAAATTCAATTTTTGTGTTTAGGTAAAACTTCAACTCAATATAAATGTAGATTTTCCATAAGAAGTTTTTTTATTTGTTTATATACCCAGAAGACGCAACACTTCCGATGAAAATGAATAGTAACCTATTGAAAAAGTTTTTGTCTGTCACAACACATAAAAATATTTAAAGTTGTTGAGTCTTTTATTTTTTATAAGCCAATTTCATTTTACGGCTGTAAGAAAACAATCGATCATATTTTGTCTATCCTCGCTATAAAATTACATCCTAATACGATAGTAAATAGATTTTCATACCGTACAATATTCAAATGAATATCATATTATATGTTGTGTGTTTTATATTGCTATATCATTATTATTAATATTTAAATTTAAAAATGTTTTGTATAATAATTGATTTGTGTTTTTTTTCTATTGAACATGCCTGGATACAACGTATAACAAATTGCACATTATACTATTCGTAATTAGGTAATATTATTTACCAATAATAATAGCAGTACATACAATAAATTGAGTGGGTACCTTCTAATAATTACAGACGTTTTCAAAAGAACGTTTCTTTTTACATTTTTTTTTCCTCAACCATATAATCATTTACAAGGAATAGTCATACTACTTATCTGATTTAACTAAGTAAAAACATCAGATAGATACCTATCGGGTATATACACGGTAATGGAATTGACATAAGCTTAAAATATTACTTATATAATGTTAAACTAAAAATAATATGTAATGCTTAAATTGTTTGTTATAGAAATACATAATAATAAATATGTATATCTGACGTTATATGCGAGTACATTTAATTTAGTGCCCGTAATTTTTAGAAAGTATTTAAAATGACATATTTTATCGTCATTTTCAACAATAATAATTTAAATTGTCAGTATTTAATCACCCATATTATAATGTGCTTATTATCAATCGGTATAGTAATAAAACAAATAATCATAATATATCTTTAATCTTACGGATGAAAATCGGTCGTAAAAAAAATGAATTGAAACCTGAAACTGCTGCAGATGGCGTAGTGATTATAGTATTGCAGATGTATAATGCAAATCAATAACACGGAATAACTATAATAAAACCGAAATCACAGACATATGAGTCTAATACGCCAAATAGAATTCTTTCATATATAATACCTATTATTTCCTGTTTCTATTTTTTTGTTACTATCCCCGGGGCTTTGACACGACGCCCATGGGAAATAGGTAGCGAAGTTCAAACTCGTTTCCCGAGACTCGTCCGTTCGTTCGACAGCAGGGAGGGATAATATAAAAATAATCATTGCCAGGAGAAAAAAATAAATGCATTAAAAAGCGCTTTGTCTGTCGTGCTTCCTATTCGCTGCACACTCGTACATAGATATGCCCACTACTCGTTCGAAAGAAAGTTATTTATGACAACGGCAATTAAACATCGGACACTTGACTTCTTCCCCCTCGTACAGTAATAATATAATAGATGAAAACTCGTGGCTGGCGAAGAGCACAGCCGTACACGCGGGTATGTTATTATATTATATCGTGTACTTAACAATATTGACGTACCTACCTACCCACGACTAATAAAGCGATTTGTAATTCTTGAACGCGCCACGCATAAATGCATTTCGTACAACTCAATTCAATTCATCTTTATTTATGTGTTACATATTGCTTTCGTTTAAACACCACCTGAGATCGTCATGCACGAGAACGAAAAAGGAGACATAAATAATATTACAAAACTATGTCACCGCCGATTAGCTATATTATGACGATTGATATATACCTACATTGATCGTTAATCGTATTCTTCTCGTACATACGATATTTATGTCGAAAGTAAACGTGTCGAATTTCAAATTTGGTTTACGACCGCTCCAAATAGGTACTGCAAAACAATATGCGCAACGCAACTCCTCTGTGCGGGAATCACGAATTAATATGCAAAATTAAAATCCTCGATAATTACCATTGTCTCACATACGACCATTATAATGGATGATCTAATAGCCGAGGCGTTTCCATTCAATGTAAATGCAAATAATTTATTATCAATGTTCAGAAAGTTATACGAATATAGTGTCGGGCGCATAGTTGTTAGGACATAAACTAGACTGTATTTATAGACTATATGTTTATTAGTCGTGTGTTGAACCTTGAATCGAGTAGAAGGATGTTCAAAGACTTTGTACATTATTTTGAAGACCGGAATTTCCAGACTTCAAGCTCAGATCAAGTTTGAAATGATGATAAACATGGAAGAATAAGATATATCACAGAAATAATAGATACAACCAAATTAATTCAAAAACACATAATACAGGCGGTTTATTATACAATGGACGATGTCGACCAAAATAATGATATACAACTTCAAACTACCTATTACCTACACCGCTCTCAAATAGTTATGCAATCACTGAATGTTTAACGCTCGTTTCGAAATCATAAGCTTTTGGCTATAGCTAATAATTCCATATTAAAAAAAAAAATATGTTTTTTTATTTATTATCTTATCTTTTAGTCATTGATTATTATTCCATAATTTATATTATATTTCAAACTCGAGCTACTCCAGTTATTCTACATAATATACATATATATGTATAGCCGTAGTTTGAAAGATTCAACGAATTGTAAATGTACAGATAAAAAGTTGATCTTAAAAAAACTTTTTAATTTTTAAACTTATTTTAAATATATTTAAATTATAAAAGTATATAATATATTATAGTATTTTAGAACGATCTCACCAAAATTCTTCATCGGACGA